GTTGCTGTGTTGTGAGAACAGCCATAAACAATATGTAACTAAATAGGTGTGGCCAGATTTGGCCCAGTGGGAATAGTTTGCTGACCCTGACCCTAGACCAACCAGCCTGCCAACTGCCAGGCCTGTGAATAAGGTCATCCTAGACCATCCAAGCCCCAGCTTAACCTCTGGTAAACTGCAGAGATCAGTGAACCACAATAACTGCCCAGCTGATGTACAGAATTGTGAGTGATAATTAATGCCGTTGTTTTAAGCCACTAAGTTTTAGGATGGCTTGTTACACAGCAAAAGCTAACCAACACACTAGTCTTTGCCATATTTGGACATTATCAATATATTTTTAAAGGATTTTATTTACTTATTTGTCAGAGAGAGAGAGAGCAAGAGAGAGCACAAGCAGGGGGAGCGGCAGGCAGAGGGAGAGGGAGAAGCAGGTTCCCAGCCAAGCAGGGAGCCCAACGTGGGACTTGATCCCAGGACCCTGGAACCATGACCTGAGCCAAAAGCCGATGCTCAACCGACTGAGCCATCCAGGCACCCTTATCAATATTTTTTATTTTTATTAATATGATGTGTTACAAATGGTATAGTTATTTAACTATGCCTTTCTATGATTACTTATGCATTTGAGCATTTTTTCATATATATTCATTGGTTTACTATATATACTCTTTTGTGAATTTCTTTTTCATATCCATTGTTCATTTTCACATTTGATTATTATTGATTTGACATTGTTTGAGAATGTACCTTGGATAATAACTCTTTGTTATATATATTGCAAATATTTTCTCCCTGCTCGTTGTCAATTATTTGTAGTATCTTTTATTATATTGAGTTTTTAAATTTTTATATAATCAAATTTAGCAATCATTTCCCTTATGGTTTTTGAGTTTTGTGTCTTTAGGAGACCTTCCCTATTCTTTTTATAAAAAAACATTCTTCTACATTTTTCTAACACTTCTATAGTTGATTTTGTTTTCATAATTATTTTGTTTATTATCCATATGGGCTTTATTTTATGTGTGGTATAATTTTTTTTCCAACTGGAAAAATTAGCTGTTCTTGCACATTTTGTTTTCCAGATATATTTCAAAATCATCTGTAGTTCCCTATAAAAATCTCTTGGCATTTCAGTTGTTATTCCTATTTGGGTCCTGCTTTTTCAGAGTATCCTCAAAGTTTCTGGTCTGTCAATGGCACTATTTCTGGGTTTTCAGTCCTATTTGGAATTTATTGTTTTTTAAATTAATATACTCTGTTTTATGAGACTTGGAACAGGAAGGAGAGTAGTCAGATGTACATTTAGATCCAGTTCTTCCACCAGGTATTAATTTTTGAAATTTATTTTTCAAGTCTTTAAAGAATTCAGCACTATTATTATTATTTAAAGATTTATATATTTATTTATTTGAGAGACAGAACCAGAGAGTGTGCATGGTTGGGGGGAGGGACGGAGAGAGAGGGCGAGAAACTTTAGCAGATTTCCACACTGAGTGCAGAGCCCAACACGGGGCTCAATCCCAGGACCCTAATATCACAACCTGAGCTGAAACCAAGAATCTGATATTTAACCAATTTCGCCACCCAGGCGCCCCATTATTATTATTATTATTTAAAGATTTATTAGGGTGTCTGGGTGGCTCAGTCAGTTAAGCGTCTGACTCTTTTATTTATTTTAGAGACAAAGTGCATGTGTGGCACAGGGCGTTAGGAGGTAGAGGCAGAGAGAGAGGGAAAGAGAGAATCTCAAGCAGACTCCCCACTGAGTGTGGAGCCCAATGCGGGGCTCAATCCCACCACCTCAAGACCATGACCCCAGCCAAAATCAAGAGTCAGATGCTCAATCAACTGAGCCACCCAGGTGCCCCACAGCATTATTTATAAAATGAAAAATATAAAGCATCACTTGAGTAGCTCTCTCAGTTATGTAAATGTAGGCTGAGAAACAGTCATTGTTTTGGGACTAGAGTGTATCTTTTGTGACTTAATTAAGGTGGCCATTAGATCTCTGACATACTAACTTGGTCCCCCAGAAGGAACTGAATACATTTACATAAGTAAGTCATGGTCTTCTGGGGTATAAGGAATTGATACTCAATCATTACTCTCTAAGACATGAAGTTAGAGAGACCTGTGGATGTTGTCTGACTGGCCCCGGCCAAAGGAGAGTGGCAGGGTAGAGTAACAAGTTCTTTGAAATCGTTAACTTCAGTAAAGTGGGAGTTCAGGATGATGCCCTCAAGGTTGATTTCAGCCCAGGCAATGGCTGATGCTGAAAGCAGGTCTGGTAGCAACTCCGCAACATTTCAGAATTGGCAGCATTACCCACCAAATGTGCAGAATCAGTTTCCTACTACAAAGCAGCAGCAAAAAGCAAAAGATGTAATAGACTAATTGAATGCCTATACTGTCATTGATGGGGTATTGAAGTTGGACAGACTTCTCTTACAAGATTAAATTCTTGAGGATTTGAGGGTAAGTCAGAGAGATAAGCCCTAAGAGGCAGATGTTGAATATGTTATTAATCTATTTTGTGGAGTCTCTAAACAATATTCATTTAATGTAAAAAAATTTTTTTAAATGAGATGTATTTATCATTGTACCATAATTTTAGGAATAGGCCAATCTATGCCCACCTATAGGGAAATTAGTTTTAAAAAATTATGGCACATCCATTCAATGGAATACTATGCACCTATCACAAAGGATGATATAGAAATACAGGGGCGCCTGGGTGGCTCAGTCGTTAAGCGTCTGCCTTCGGCTCAGATCATGATCTCAGGGTCCTGGGATCGAGCCCTGCATCGGGCTCCCTGCTCCGCAGGAAGCCTGCTTCTCCCTCTTCCACTCCCCCTGCTCGTGTTCCCTCTCTTGCTGTGTCTCTCTCTCTGTCAAATAAATAAATAAAATCTTTAAAAAATATATATATATTAATTGAGATAGGACAACCTCCAAGACTTATATCTGAGAAAAAAATATATAATGCTATTTCTATAAAAAAGTTGAGCTATAGATCCATATAAATATAAATATATATATATTTCATATAGAGGTCTGGAAGTAAGGTTAACAAATTTTGGTAATTGGCTCTAGGTGGTGAGATTTTAGATAATTTTTGCTTTCTTTCTTATAGTCTCCTGTATTATTTAAATTTTTTACAAATTTTCTATAATGAACAAGTTTTATCATTATGAAATAATTTTTAAAAATGGAAACTGACCAAAGAAATTATAAGGAATAATAATAATAATAATAATGATAGCTTACTATGTGCCAGAAACTATGCTGTTTTATATGTATTACCTGATTTAATTCTCACAACAACCCTGTGAGGTTATTTGGCAATGTTGGCAATACTGTTTGGCAATATTGAACAAACCTAGGCTTGAATAGTTTAAGTAAATTGTCCATCATCACAGGGTTAGTATGTGGTTGGGGGCATGATTAAAGCTGATATTCCCTGGCTATAGAGCTAGAATCTCTCTGGTTTGACCCATGGGGGAGTTGGATCTCTGGAGCAGATAGAGAAAATCGCCAGCATCTAAAATATAATCCACTTACAACCCTACAGTCATACCTCCAATGCCATTTTCTCTTTTACCTTTCCAGAAGCAAGCACTAAATACTGTAAAAATAACCAGTACCAAAATCACTACCAACCAAAGACAAAAAACTTTCTGTGGTGTTCTGTTCATTGGTAGATCCAGTGAACCATGGCTTGCAAGTATTGTAGTGTATCCTGGCATAATCCCCTCCTCTTGAATCTGGGCTGGCCCTTTGACTTGCTTTAACAAATAGAATTGAGTGAATAATGAACGCACCAGTCTGGGCCTAAGCCTTAAGAAAGCCTAGCAGCTTACACTTTTGCCCTTTTGGGAGCCCTGAGCTAACATGTAAGAAATCTGGCTACTCTGCTGGAGAAATTATATGGAAATGTCACAGAGAGAGGGAGAGAATTTGAGACTACAGGGAGAGGGGAGCCCAGCCACTCCAGCTGAACCAGCCACCAGCTGATGCTACCATCAACAGCAAGTACAGAACAAGAATGGTTGGGCTAATTCCAACCCAGACTGCAGAACAATGAGCAAATAAAACAGCTGTTGTTTTAAGCTATACATTTTGGGGTGGTTTGTTACACAATAGATAATGAGAACACCTCCTTGCTTTCCTTGGGTGACAAATGGTACACTTTGTTCTACATAAAACTTAAATCTTCATTTCTTACCCTTTATCTCTCAATTTTATAGCAATGTTTTGCCAGAAGCTTTCGCATTAATTACTGGGACACAGGAAAGCTTTAATGCAGTTACTAGGTGGGGGTCCAGAGGCTGACTTTAGTCCTATCCTTAACTGTATGCCTTTTGAAAGTGATTTACCTTTTTGTCTCAATTGTGAAATGAGACTAATGCTCACTCTACTGGCCAGAGAGTAAAAATTAGTATAACCGAGTTGAAAAGAAAAACGAAAAGCATTTAATAGAGCTTCCAGCTCAAGAGGCAGGCGAGGAAACACAAAGAACATGAATTTGATTTCATCTGGGTGTAAGATCTTGGACAAATGACTTAATATTTCTGATCCCCAGTTTTTCCTCTGTAAATGAGATTACTCCTTCTCATATCACAGGTTTATCTGTGATGATTAAATGAGACAACACATGAAGCAAGAGACCTGTTGCAGAATAAATGCTAACTGCCCGCCATCAAATCCTAAAGCTCCCCGCCTTCCGCCATCCTCATATTCCCGCCTAACCCCAGAGAGTGTGATTCAGTAAGTCTGAAGTGGGACCCGGAAAGCTACAACTTCATTTTTTAAAACCTACTTTACAAAACAAACAAGGTCCCAAAGAAATTCTAACGCAGGTGCCCTCACGCAAAACACTCCGCTTGCTACCACGCCCCTTCCTTGTGTCAGGAGCTGCAAACTCCAGGTCTCGCGATGGATTTTCCTTCTTCAGACTCTGCTACAGGTCGCGCGAGAGTGTTTCGTCCAATCACGAGGCTGGATGCTTGCCCAACATGGCGGCGCGCTAGGAGCGTAACATCTGCGTTTCTAGGCGCTTCGCTCTGCGGGTGGCTTGAGACTCTGGAGTTATAGAGGCCTAATCCAGACCGGTCATCTGGAAGAAACTTTGACTTCAGATGTGAGTCATTTATCAACTGTTAGGCGGGTCGAGAGGTCATTTAACCTATGTATGGCCCAAGTTCCATATTCTTGGGTTCTGGGCTGGTGAGTGGCTGACTTTGGGCCTAGGGAGACAGACCTGAAGGGTGGGTGGCTTTGTGTCTGTGTCTGTGCGTGCGTGTTGCGCGCGCGGGTTCTGGACTGGTGAGGTGCTGGCTTGGGGTCTAGGGAGACAGACCACATGGGTGAGTGAATGGGTTGGGTGGGTGGGTAGGTTGTGTGCGCGCGCGCACGTGGAGGAGGATAATGGTGATGGGATAGATGGGAGGAGTTGGCGCCTAGAATGGAGACGAGGATTGAAGTACGAAAGACCCCAGGGGCTGAGGAGGTTTAGAGAGATGCGAAACTGAGGCGGGAAGACTGAGTGCATAAGATGAGCGTGTGGGAGGAGTGGAGGAGATGGAGAAATGGCACTGGCGGAACTAGAGGAAAAAGTCGGTTTTATGAAGGCAGGCGACGAGAGAAAACGGAGATTGGGGTTGAACTGGGAGAGATCTGTGCAGAAGGAATTCAAAGTTAGAAGCGGAAATTAGAATTCGAAGCGGAATTTAGAGTCTTTTGAATGTTAAGATAAACGGTAGTTGAAGAGTATTATTGAGGGTTAGGAGAAACCAAGGAAACAGTAGACCATGGAGATGGCAAAGTTCAAAGAAAGTCGAAGCGTCAGCTTCAAGGGTGTGCTACTGCTTTGGCTTTCAGGACTGACTCGGATAACCCAGAAGAAAATGCTCCAGCCCTAAGTAGGGCTGATCCTTTTTGAGTGTCAAGATGAGGACAGTTTACAAAAAATGAGAGTGCTGTGTTTCAGTGGCTTGGGACAGTGAAAAGAGTTCCATCATGTTTTCAGTAAACAACTTATGAGTGCTTACTCTCCCAGGCCCTAATTTAGGCAGTGGGATATTGCAGCGAACAAGATAGACAAAGTATTTTCCCTCATGAAACTTACTGGCAAGGCAGATTTTAAAAAGTAAGTAAATGCTGTATATGGAATGTCAGATGGGTAAGTCCTGTGTTGAAGACTTCGAAAGTGTTAAGGGAGAGGAGTGTGTTCACTCACTGCACATTTAAGTGTTCACTCATTGCACTAAGAAAAGGCATCAGGGGTGCCTGGCTGGCTCAGTCCATAGAGCATGCCGCTCTTGATCTTGGGGTAGTGAGTTCAAGCCCCGAGTTGAGCGTAGAGCTTACTTTAAAAAAAAAAAGGGGAAAAGCGGTGAGAAGGTGAGGTTTTATCAAAGGCCTGAACAAGGAGAGAGTACCTTGTACGTATGTATTTCTGGGGGAAGAGCAGTCCATACTGACCGAGTACAAAATCCCTGATGCAGGAGTGTGCCAGATTTGGTTAAAAACGAACAAACAAACAAACAAACAAAAAACACCCCAAAAACCAAGGAGACTAATGTGGCTAGATAAGAATGAGCCAGGAAGAGGGGCACCTGGGTGGCTCAGTTGTGAGCGTCTGCCTTCGGCTCAGGTCATGATCCTGGGGTCCTGGGGTCGAGCCCCGCATCGAGCTCGCATCGAGCTCCCTGCTCCGTGGGAAGCCTGCTTCTCCCTCTCCCACTCCCCCTGCTTGTGTTCCCTCTCTCACTGTGTCTCTCTCTGTCAAATAAATAAATAAAATCTTTAAAAAAAAAAAAAAAAGAATGAGCCAGGAAGAGAAAAATAGGTAGGCTAGAGAGAAGGGGGAGTGACAGTGTTAATGCCAGGTAAGAGTTAATACTGGGTTAAATTCTGAGAAATAGGATAGATTTAGCTAAGATCCCTTTGCCTTTAGGAGGTTGGTTATCAAAAAAGTGGCTTTATTGACTCTTTATCTGTTCTGACCAGAAAATTTGATTAGGATATAAATTGAATCTTCCATATCTGTAATTTAATTTGTTCCACGTATGCTCAAAGTGTCATGTGTGTACACTGATGTCATCTATGCAGTCTTTAGAATATTAACGTGTTGCAGAGCTCTAACATACCAGTGTCTTTTGAAATTACTGTTAGAATACTTTCTTTTGTTGTTGCTTGCCAGAACCACAAGAAAGGAAAACATTTTCCTTTTAAACTTTTTCTTTTTTTTAAGATTTTTTAAAGTAATCTCTACACCCAACGTGGGGCTTGAATTTACAACCCTGAGATCAAGAGTTGCATGCTCCACTGACTGAGCCAGCCAGGCACCCCCTTTTCAACTTTTTCATGGGAACTGGTTCTTATCCTAATTCTATGCTCCCTTCTTTTTGATAGTCTGTAAAGGGTATGTTAATGTTAGGAAATTGCAACTTGTATATAGTGAGTTCCTGTGATAATGTTAGGGGCAAAAGGTGGTAGCTTAGTATGCTGAAAAACTTCCAGGTGACTATTAATTACCCTAAATTCTGAATTATTCACTTAAGTATTTATTGTATGCCAGTTGCTGGAGGATACAGTGAAGAATAAGATGTACATGGTTGCAGCCTGGGAGGTGGGGTGGAGGACAGGACAGACAAATGTAAACTAAGAGCTTTGAGGGAAAGCATAAAATGCTTTGAAAGTATATAGAGTGGGCATCTGATTGGATATGTGGTGTCAGAAAAAGCCTACCTGAGAAAATGATGCTTAGGGTGTGATTTGAAGGGCTAGTGGGCCTTCAAAAGGAGAATGGATGGTAGGAGAGTGAAGAGAACCTCTTAGGCAGTAAGAATAACAGATGGTGGGACAGATCATTATACAGCAGAGAAAATGAAAGGACAAGTGTGTCTGGAGCATAGTGGCAACAAATGAGGTTGGAGGGATAGGCAGGTCTAGATTATGTATGCCTTGTTAATGATTTTGGACTTTATAAGCCTAATAGCTTTAGGAAGCCACTGAAGGGATTCAGCAAGGACTCCAGATTTGCATGGAGGGAGGGAGGGAAGACTTGTCTTTTGGGTGAAAAGTGGATGGCAAAGGCAAGAGTGATTATAGAGAGATCAGTTAGAGGCTATTATAGTAATCCAAGGGAGATGATAATGATCTGGGGGTAGAGTTGTGGAGGTGTGACAGAAATAATATAAGGGTCAAGAAATAATTAGAAGGTAGAGAATATTCAGGACATGGTGTGTTTGGAATGGGGGAGATGGGCTGGAGAGGATGCTAAAGATTTCTGGCCTGAGCACCACAAGAAAGGTAGTGGTGTTATTTGGCGAAAAGGGATGATTAGAAAAGGACCAGTTTGAGGTGGGTAGAAATGACTTAATTTTGGACATTGTACATGAAGTACTTCTGAGCCATTCAAGTGACAAGTCGGGTAGGCAGTTGGATATATGATTTGGAAAGGTCCACGATGAAGACAACTCTTTTTTGAAAATAATTGTTAAATTTTCAGTGTAGAGGATGGTATTTGCAAATGACATATCCAATGAGGGGTCGGTATCCAAAATACATAAAAAACTTATACAACTCAACACCAAAAAGCCCAAATAATCCAATTAGAAAATGGGCAGAGGACCTGAGTAGACATTTTTCCAAAGAAGACATACGGATGGCCAGCAGACACATGAAAAGATGCTTAACATCACTGATCATCAGAGAAATTAAAATCAAAGCCATAATGAGATATCACCTCATGCCTGTCAGGATGGCTAAAATAAAAACACAAGAAATAACAAGTGTTGGCAGGGATGTGGAGAAAAAGAAACGTTCCTGCACTATTGGTCGGAATGCAAATTGGTGCAGCCACTGTGGAAAACAGTACAGAGGTTCCTCAAAAAATTAAAAATAGAATTACCAGGCACCTGGGTGGCTCAGTTGGTTACGCGACTGCCTTCAGCTCAGGTCATGATCCCGGAGTCTCAGGATCGAGTCCTGCATCCGGCTCCCTGCTCAGCAGGGAGTCTGCTTCTCCCTCTGACCCTCTCCCCTCTCATGCTCTCTCGCTCTCTCTCTCAAAGAAATAAAATTAAAAAAAAAAATAGAATTACCATTTGGGGTACCTCGGTGGCTTAGTTGGTTAAGTGTCTGACTCAACTCACGTCTTGATCTCAGGGTTGTGAGTTCAAGCCCAAAAATGAAAAAAGAATTACCATCTGATCCAGTAATTCTACCACTGGGTATTTACCTAAAGAAAATAAAAACAGTAATTCAAAATGATACATGTACCCCTATATTTATGGCAGCATTGTATACAATAGCTAAGATAAGGAAGCAACCCAAATGTCTATCAATAGATGAATGGATGAAAAAGGTATAGAAAAAGACATATACCATATGATTCCACTCATGTGGAATTTAAGAAACAAAACAGATGAACATAGGGGAAGGGAAGGAAAAATAAGATAAAAACAGAGAGGGAAGCAAACATAAGAGACTCTTAACTATAGGGAATAAACAGAGTTGCTGGTGGGGATTGCATGGGAGGATGGGGTAATTGGGTGATGGGTATTAAGGAGGGACTGGATATAATGAGATGTTAATGTATAACTGATGAGTCACTAAATTCTACCCGTGAAACTAATAGTACACTATATGTTAACTAAATTGGGGGGAAAAAAAGGGTATGTATATACACAATGGAATATTACTCAGCCATCAAAAAGAATGCAGCCTTGCCATTTGCAACAACATGGATGGACCTAGAGGGTATAATGCTAAGTGAAGTAAGTCAAAGAAAGACAAATACTATATGATTTCACCCATGTGGAATTTAAAAAAACAAACAAAAAAGGGAGACCAGCAAAAAACCACTTTTTTTTTTTTAAAGATTTTACTTATTTATTTGACACAGAGAGAGATAGTGAGAGTAGGAACACAAGAAGGGGGAGTGGGAGAGGGAGAAGCAGGCTTCCTGCAGAGCAGAGAGCCCGATGTGGGGCTTGATCCCAGGATGCTGGGATCATGACCTGAGCCAAAGGCAGATGCTTAATGACTGAGCCACCCAGGTGTCCCCAAAAAACAGACTCTTAAATGCGGAGAACAAACTGGTGGTTGCCAGGGGGGAGGTGGGGGGGGGGTGAAATAAAGGGGATTAAGAGTACACTTACCTTGATGAGCACTGAAGAATATAGAATTGTTGAACCATTATATCATATACTGAAACTAATATAACACTATATGTTTAATTATACTTGAATTAAAAAATTAAAAAATTTTTTCAATGTAGAAAGCTGTCAAAAAAACCTTCTGAAATAGAGTGTTAGCAGAGCTATTACTATGTAAGGTTATATCTGTAATAAAACCTGCAAAGGAAGGGTGCTTGTTGCTAGGAGACTTTATAATAGGGGGTATGACTTAACCAGGGGGATTAGGGAAGGAAAAACTTACCTGAAGAAGAGATGCTTGAATTGAGTAAGGATGAGTAGGAATTCATCAGGTGAAGAGGAGAAAAAAACATTACAAAGGGAATAAACTGTAAAGACCTGATTGCCAGAGTGGAGGGACAGAAAGAAGAGCAGTGAGAGGTATGGCTTAACGTGATGGTGAAAAAATAGTTAAGGCCACACCATGCTGGCCCTTATATGTATGCTGAAGTAATGATTTTTGTTTTTAATCCTAAGTAAAATTTTGAGCAAGTGGGCATAGGAGAAGGAAGACATAGTGAGATTTGTGTTTAGGAGATGATCTCTGCAAGGTGGAAAAAGGAAATCCGAGAGAGTAAGAGTGGAGTCAGGGTGACCAAGTAAGAGGCTGTTCTAAATCCAGGTGACTTGTACTGGGCTGATATTGGTGGAGATGGGAAAAATAGATGGATCTGAGAGGTATTTAGCAGGTAAAATCCACATGACTGTTGATTTCTTAGGATATGAGAGGGGTATAGAACTTCCCGATGATGCCTAGGATTTTGGCTTACATAACACTGTTTAGATGAATGCACCTTAGAAAAAACAGTGGAAAATACAGAATGATATAACGAAGAATATACAAATCACACCACCCAGAGATATGCACTAAAATAATTTTTAGAATTACCAACTGTATAACTTACTAAGCCACTACAATCAGGGCGCCTGGGTGGTTCTGTGGGTTGTGTCTGCCTTTGGCTCAGGTCGTGATCCCGGAGTCCCTGGATCGAGCCCCACATCGGGCTCCCTGCTCAGCAGGGAGCCTGCTTCTCCCTCTGCCCCTCACCCTGCTCGAGCTTACTCTGTCTTGCTCTCTCAAATGGATAAATAAAATCTTAAAAGAAAAACAAACACTACATGGGGCGCCTGGGTGGCTCAGTTGGTTGAGTGGCTGCCTACGGCTGGGGTTGTGATCCTGGAGTCCCAGGACCGAGCCCTGCATTGGGCTCCCTGCTCAGCAGGGAGTCTGCTTCTCCTTCTGACCCTCCCCCCTCTCATGCTCTCTCTCTCTCTCATTCTCTCTCTCAAATGGATAAATAAAATCTTTGAAAAGAAAAAAAACCAAACACTACAATCAGTGGCTTTTCTTCAGTTTTATATCTTGCTATAAATGTGTTAATTTTTTTTTTTTTTGTAATCTGGAAGGAGACAAAATTGTTTTCATTTGGTTTTAGCTACCTAGGAATGACAAGACTGAAATTTATAAAATAGAAGATATATTTTGAAACATTTGTGACTTTATGATGTGCTACAAAGTATTCAGTCCATACAAGACCCCTGTAAAAACTAACCTCTGACTATTAGTTCTTGGCTAATAGTTCTTGGCTTACTTCTGCCCCTTTGATGCTTTCAAAAGAATAGTTTCCAGTTTTCATGGTTTAAAAAAAACCCGTATGTTGCATACGCATTTCAAGCTGTGATAAAATATACATAACATAAAATTTACCATTTTAAGCATTTTTAAGTGTACTGTTTAGTGGCATTAAGTACCTTCACACTGTTGTATAACCATCACCACTGTCCATTTCTAGAAGTTTTTCATCATCCTAAACAGAAACCCATTAAATAATAATTCAACATTCATACCTCCTCCCCAAACCCTGGTAACCTCTATTCTACTCTCTTTATGAATTTGCGTATTCTTGGTATCTAATACAAGTGTGATAATACAACATTTGTCCTTTTGAATATGGCTTATTTTTGTTAGCATAATGTTTTTTTAAAATATTTATTTATTTGAGAAAGAGAGAGAGAACACGGAGAGAGGGAGAAGCAGTCTCCCTGCTGAGCGGGGAGCCCGTTATGGGACCTGATCCAAGGACCCTGGGATCGTGACCTGAGCTGAAGGCAGACGCTTAACCGACTGAGCCACCCAAGTGTCCCAGAATAATGTTTTTAAGGTTCATTCATGTTGTAGGATGTATCAGAATTTTATTCCTTTTTTTGGCTGAAGGACATTGCATTGTATGTATGTACCACATTTTCTTTATCCATTTATGGACACTTGGGGTTGTTCCTACTCTTTTGGCTGTTGTGAATAATGCTGCTGTGAACATTGATGTGCAAATATCGCTTGAATCCCTTCTTTCAGTTCTCTTGGGTGTATACCTAGGAGTGGAATTGCTGGATCATATGGTGGTAATTCTATGTTTAACTTTTTAAGAACTGCTGAACTGTTTCCACAGCCATTGTATACGTTCCCACCTTCAATGCTCCAATTTCCTAACATCCTCACCAATACTTCTCTTAACTTTTTTAATAATAGCCATCCTATTGGGTATGAATTGATATTGTGGTTTTGATTTGCATTTCCCTAATGACTCATGGTGATGTTAAGCATATTTTAATGTGCTTATTTGTGTACATTTGAAAAATATAACTTCTACTTTCTCAGTTGATGGGCAAAAATATGTTGGCTGTAACTGTTGACTTGGCAACCACAGCTTTTCCCCATTAATGTATTTTTTGACTAAATATGCTGACTTTTTTCCTTTTTTTTCTTTTTAAAGATGGCTCTGAGTAAATCAATGCATGCAAGAAATAGATACAAGGACAAACCTCCTGACTTTGCATATCTGGCAACCAAATATCCAGATTTTAAGCAGCATGTTCAGATAAATCTGAATGGAAGAGTGAGGTAGGTAACATGAAGTATTCTTAATACTGTATTATTCTAGTATAATCTGAATGGACACAGGGTAGTGGAAAGCATACTGGACTGATAGTACACCTGAATGCAATCCTAGACATTTCCTAAAATTTCTCGTCTGATCTTGGACAAATCACTTAACCTGTCTGGGTTTCATCTTTGTGTTGGGGGGTAGAGAGAGGGGAGGAGAGGGAGAGAGAGAATCTTAAGTAGTCTCCACGCCCAGTGAGAAGCCCTACATGGGGCTTGATCTCACAACTCTGAGATCATGACCTGAGCCGAAATGAAGAGTCAGATAATTAACTGAGCCACCTAGGCACTCCTGGGTTTCATCTTTTCAAGTTATAAAATGAGAGGATTGGACCAAATACTTTTCAGTTTCTTTCTGGCTTTAGGAGTTTGGAATTTATTTTTATTTTTTTAGATTTTATTTATTAGAGAGAGTAAATGAGAGAGAGAGACAGAGAGAGCACGAGTGGGGGGAGGAGTAGAGGGAGAGGGAGAAGCAGAGCAGGGAGCCCTATGTGGAGCTTGATCCTGCGACTATGGGATCATAACCTGAGCCGAAGGCAGATGCTTAACCAACCGAGCCACCCAGGTGTCCTAATTTTGTTCTTTTTAAGAGAGAGAGCGTGATCCCACATGGGGGTGAGGGACAGAGGGAGAGGGAGAGTTAAGTAAGCTCCACACCCAGTGCGGAGCAGAGCTCAATCTTATGACCTGAGCTGAAATTAAGAGTTGGACGCTTAACCAGCTGAGCCACGTAGGTGCCCTAGGAGTTTGGAATTTATTTTAAGGACATGGTGTGGAGGGTTCTTGTATCTTCAGAGTTACCCATCCCTGTCCTTATCCACTGAAGTTTAAAAGCAGAGGAATAACATGTTCAGAGTTGTGTTTAGACAGAAGTATTCTAGGAGCATTGGGGAGGATGGGTGGCAGGGGAAATTAAGATTGGAGGTATAGGGAAGTGAGTAGGAAATGGTTTCAGTAATCCGGATTAGACATTGGTGGCCAAACTAGGTAGAGGCAGGAGGGATAGAAATCACTGATGAATTTGAGTGAAATTCATGAATAGAATTAGCAGGACATGGTGGAAATTAAGGAGTCTGAGCCAGATATAGTACTTGTGATTTTTTTTTTTAAGTTTTTATTTATTTATTTGACAGAGACACAGCGAGAAAGGGAACACAGAAGGGGGAGTGGGAGAGGGAGAAGCAGGCTTCCCGCGGAGCAGGGAGCCCGATGCGAGGCTCGATCCCAGGACTCTGGGATCATAACCTGAGCTGAAGGCAGATGCTTAACAGCTGAGCCACCCAGGTGCCCCAGGTGCTTGTGATTTTATTTTAGCAAGAGGATGGGTGGTAGTACCTAGTTTATTGAGTTAGGGAACAAGGGAAAATGAACTCATTTGTGGGGAGATGAGTGTTTCAGTTTGGGGCATATGGAATCTGAGAAGCCTGCAGGATATTCAAGTAGGGTTATTTTGTTGGCAATTGAAAGTTGGAAGAGAGGGACAAAGCAGTGATGTGGAGGTGGTGTTAGTGAAGGCCATGGGTCTTCGAGCTAAATCCTGAAGAATGAATAGAAGAGGGAAAGAATTCAGGTATAGACAACAGATTTTTGTGAAAGGTGTGTTTAAGTTTGGAGAACTGCGTGTAGTTGGGCTGAAGTGGATATAGGATAACGGGTTGAGAAATAACAAGATGAGACTGAAAGGAAAACAAAGAACAGGTCACAAAGAGCCTTTTATAGCATGCAAGTTCTCTTGATTGCTCAGACACCGGAGGAACCAGAGGAGGGTTTTTAAGATGGTTTAAGATTAATATTTTTTAAGATATCTCTCGGAGCAAACCGAACAGATCTGTTATTACAGTGTATTTGAATGGATTAAAGGTGTCTGGCAAGTAATAGACATTCAATAAATTTGTTAAACTCTCGAGAGTAATTCCTCTGTAAAATCTAACTCTGTGCCAATTACAAGTGGCATACTTATTTTTTCCTCCAAGTTTTTTTTTTTTTTTTTTTTTTTTTTTTTTTTAAGATTTTTTATTTATTTATTCATGAGAGACAGAGAGAGAGAGGCAGAGGGAGAAGCAGGCTCCCAAGGAGCAGGGAGCCCGATGCGGGACTCGATCCCAGGACGCTGGGATCATGACCTGAGCCGAAGGCAGACGCTTAACCATCTGAGCCACCCAGGCGCCCTCCTCCAAGTTTTTATTTAGGTTCCACCTAATTAACATACACTGTAATATTAGTTTCAGGTATAGGATTTAGTGATTCATCACTTACATAGGCCTACTGCTCATCACAAGTGCCCATCACGTGTTTAACCCACCCCAACCCCGCTCACCTCACGAATGACATACTTAATTACAGATTAATGAAAAATAAAGGGATGGGCAAAAATACACTAGGCAAATGAGAGTTCCCCCAAATTAGAAAAAGTAAAATAGAAGGCAAAAAAGCATCAAATTGGAAAAAAGAGGACTAGTTTACATTAATAAAAGCAATAATTTTGGGGCACCTGGGTGGCTCAGTTGGTTAAGTGTCTGCCTTCGGCTCAGGTTATGATCCCAGAGTCCTGGGATCAAGCCCCGCATTGGGCTCCCTGCTCAGCGGGAAGCCTGTTTCTCCCTGTCCCACTCCCCCCTGCTTGTGTTCCCTTTCTCCCTGTGTCTCTCTCTGTCAAATAAATAAATAAAATCTTTAAAAAAATTTTTTTTGATTCAACGATGTAATTTGAACGTTTAACCTATAAACGTGAACATTCTCTCTTTTTTTTTTAAGATTTATTAATTTTAGAGAGAGACAGCTTGCAAGCAGGGGGAGGGGTAAAGGGAGAGGTCAAAGTACAGAATCTCAAGCAGACTCCCTGCTGAGTGTGGAGCTGGGTGCAGGGCTTCATCTTAGGACCCTGAGGTCGTGACCTAAGCTGAAGTCAAGAGTTGGATGCTTAACCGACTGAGCTACCCAGGTGCCCCACTTTTTTTAAAGTTTCATTTATTTAAGTAATCTCCACCCCACGTGCGGCTCAGACTCATGACCCCAAGATCAAGAGTTGCGTGCTCTACCGACTGAGCCAGCCTGGCACCCCATCAGTGTACATTCTTTTAAAATGACTTGCCCAGGCTTGTAACAGTAAGAAATGACTGAGCTGGGGACTCCTGGGTGGCTCAGTCAGTTGAGTGTCTGCCTTTAGCTCAGGTCATGATCCTGGGATCAAGCCCTGCATTGGGCTCCCTGCTCAGCAGGAGGGTCTGCTTCTCCCTCTCCCTCTGCCCATACCCCTGCTTGCGCTCACGCTCTCTCAAATAAATAAGTAAAATCTTTAAAAAATTGTGTGTGTGTGTGTGTATGTATACACATATATATAACTATGTAACTGTATATATATACACACATATATAAAAATGTTGCTGCTTCCCCCAATCAAAATCCCTGTTTTTGGGAGACAAGATAGGTATAATGTTTCCAAAATTCAAAGAAAAGATGCTCAAAGCAATAAAAGAGTAACGGGTGGTAGAAAGGTGTAAGTGTGTTAACTTTAAGTTCACAATATATTTAAATATCTATTGGGATATTTGAGTTAGATATTTAACATCTAGATTTTTAAGTTAGAGTAATTAAAATATTAGTACAGTATTGGAGCAAGAATGGGCATCAGAGTGGCATTCTGAAACACATCTAAGTCTAAACAGCAGAACAATTGCATGTGCACATTAAGTGGTGCGATGATTCCTGCCTGTCACTTGACTCAATAGTGTACCTCTCAGAGGGAGTGCAAAGTGAACAGGGTGAATCTTCCTTTCTTAATCAGTCTTGACTCCTGTGTATTTCTCATCGTGTGACTATCATACAGTGCTATAAACGATTAAAGAGATTTTCCAGTGTAAAATTTTGACCATATTGGATTTTCAGTTTATGTGCTTACTTTAGAACCTTTCAAGTAAGATACCACCCCATGGTGAAAGGCTATAGTGTAGAATAGAGTAGCATTTCAGTTCATTAGGGGTGAGGCAGACAGTAATGAATTTTTTTCAGTAATGGATTTTTTTTTTCTTTTGAGAGAGAGAGTGAGCATGTGTTAGTGGGGAGAGGGGCAAAGGGGGAGAGAGAGAGAGAATCCAGGCAGGCTCTGTGCCCAGTGCAGAGCCCATTGTGGGGCTTAATCCCAGGACCCCAAGATCATGACCTGAGCCGAAACCAAGAGTTGGACGCTCAACCGACAGCCACCCAGGCTCCCCCAGTAATGGATTTTTAATAGATGCAGTTGGGACAGCCATGGGAAGGGTGCATTTAGATTTCCTTTCCTATGTTATGCAAAATATATTCCTGATCACTGAATGATTTCAATATATTTATTTATTTATTTATTTAAAAGATTTTATTTATTTATTTGAGAGAGAGAGACTGAGAGAGAGAGAGCATGAGAGGGGGGAGGGTCGGGAGGGTCAGAGGGAGAAGCAGACTCCCTGCCGAGCAGGGAGCCCGATGTGGGACTCGATCCAGGGACTCCAGGATCATGACGTGAGCCGAAGGCAGTCGCTTAACCAACTGAGCCACCCAGGCGCCCAATATATTTATTTTTTTTTAAGTACTAGAAAAAACCTAGGTGAGTGTCTTAACTTTGGATATAGAAATGGGCTTTCTGTTCATACTCCAAGGATAGAATTCATCAAAGAAAAGATGGCTGGATTCAGCTACATGAGATGTAAACAATTTTACATGTCAGGAAATACTAAAAGTAAAAGATGACAGAGCACTGCAAATATTTACAGCTTATGGCAGAGAATTAGCTTTCTCAATATAAAGAACTCTTATAAGACAATAAGAAAAAGTAAGAAACCTTTATAGAGAAAGGTAAGGATTAAAAATGGACTGTTCACAAGAGGAAAGACAGTGGACCAAATTAGCAAAGATAAAATATTAAAATATCCATTGGGGCACCTGGATGGCTTAGTCAGTTGAGCATCTGACTGGATTTTGGC